ATTCTGGAATTCGGGAGAGGTATAACAAAATTTAATAATTTCTTCTCTGGGAGGGGCTCCAACTAGCGACCTCTGGATTATCGTTACAATATCGTAACCGCCAGACCACCGAAGTGTTATATATCTAGCGACCTAATTGTTAACTTGGGTAGAAGATTCGACCCAACTCGGTTTATCAGATATATTTCAATTTTCCAACTAATTTCTAGTCACCAACATGGCATCGCCGAAGGTCATTACATCACTTCCATTAGATCTCTCATTTCGTCTGACAGTGTTAAGTTAAATGTTAGTACCGAAAGCGCCGTAAACACAATGAACATGAAATGAGAAAATAATTTGAAAAATTTATCCAGATAAATTTTCTCGGTTTGATGACAAAAAAATTGGCATCAAACTGACAAAATTTCTCGTGATAACCGTAATACCATTTAATAACGCTCCGGTAGCTCAGTAGTATTAATATTTCCAGAGATCCAAAATTATGTCATCAACTACGAAGAGCATTAATTTGGAAAATTCGTCTAATTTTATAAAATACCGCTAATAATGATTTTTCAATTCAACCAAAATATTTTGTAAATCTATTGTTTTTATAATTCAACTTCTAAAACTGAGTTAGTTGAAGATTGGAGAATGAAGTTCCGAAACGATAAATCTTTATAAATCATTGATAACAGCGGCACACAAAAAAAATGCGGTCAGTACATTTAACAAGATCCACCGAAGTTATGTATTTTGATGCGCTGAATCCGAATTTGAGGTCCATTTAGCCCGAACACCCTCAAAATTTTGAGAAAATTGTAATTTTTCGCGATTGTTTGCCATTTTTAGCGTTTTTTTGTTTTAATTTGCTCAAAATGGACCTCAAATTCGGATTCAGCGCATCGAAATACATAACCCTAGGTGGGTCTAGCCAAATTTACTGACCTTTTTTTTGTGTGCCGGTATTATCAAGTAAAATAAATATACTTTGCATTAAAAATAACCTGACTCTTTAATTTTCAGCGACGCCCAACATGTTTGTCTTATACTCACATAAAAATAACACCCATTCATACTATAAAACACATAATACACAAAAAATATATAAAAATAACAAAGATATGGTATTGACTGAACTAAAAAACATAATATATACCACAATAGTTCCCGCTATTAAACACTAAAATTATTCATCGTGACACAATTAATGTTTATAGAGCGAATAATTTTTCATATTGTCAGTGAGTTATTTATAAATTAATTATTAAATGGAAATTTGCATAATGGTATTAATTGTTTTTGTACTGATATAAAAGTTTTAGAATATGGCAATTGGGGAAAATAGGGTTAAAGTGGGGCGGTTAAGGGTTTAACATTGATTTGTAGTTTGATATATTCTTTGAAGTTTATATAATGATAACTGAGTTTTATTCGTGAATCTTTTTAATAGGACATAAAAAAATTTTAAACGAATCTAAGTAACCATAATATTCTATTTATCATTCAGTGTAGAATGTAGAATATCATTATCTTCAAAGAACAAAAATGTTATTATTTTATTGATAGTATCATAACCTTTTTCTAATTTTGACATATAAAGTCACATTTTTGTATTTGCAACAAATATTAAAATGTAACCGGTTACGAAAAGTTAAAGATTATGTAACTAGTTATGAACAGTTTATTATGTCATCAGTTGCGAAAAGAAAGTGTATAAAAATAAAACTTTTTAGTTCTAAAATCTATAGATATATTTTTTTAAAGCTTATATCAAAGGAAGGAACGTTGGCTGTATAAAAATATATATTTTGTTAATGAACTTACAATTACCTAGTAATAATTTTTTTTTTCAGATTTAACAAGAAACCTGCACCCAACAACCCAACAACCCAAATCATAATTATATGATTTTTTAAATAGATATGCCAATAAAAGTAATATCGGTTGCATGGGTAGACAAGTTTATCAAAAAGTAGTAGTAATTAATATTTTATTTTATTAATTATTTGTGTTCATTCCAATATGTCAAATTATATATTATTTCTAATCAATAATTGGCGAGGAAAAAATTATACGAATTTTTATATTTTAATAGGTACAAACAATTTAAAAAACTAAAAAATTGTATTCCACGTGACTAAATTGATGTCATCAGTTAGCTAAAACTGACAATAATAACTTCAGTAGTAACCTTAAAATAATGTCGGTTTCGGATAATTGACCAACACCCGATTGGCCGACACCCAATTGACCATCAGGACATTTAACCGACTGGACAATTGACCGACTGGAAAACTGATCGATTGGACAATTGACTCGACAAGCCAATTGATCGACAGGCCAATATACCAACAGGCTAATTTACCAACAGGCCAATTTACCGACAGGACAGTTGACTGACAGGCCAAGTAATCGACCTCTTAGGTCAATATAACATTTTTTTAGTTTTATAAGGTTTAGTTTTATAAGTTTTTAGGGTTTTAAATGTTCAGAGCATCTACTGTAATTTTTTGCATGTACAAGTTTTACAACTTGGTGAGAAATACGCTCCATATTTTTCCAAAATATTTGATTGGAAATAAGTACAAAAATAAAGAATTAATTTTCTACCATAGGTACATAAATAATTTAGTCAAAATTAAAAAAAAAATCATGTATGTAACACTTTACAAAATGCCGTTTTGTGTAACTTGCATATTTTGCGGGACCTTGCTCTGCTCGTCTCGTAAATATTCATTTGTTATCCAAAATAAGGCTTTTCGTAACTGTTTACATAAATAGTTTTTACTCATCAGAAGCTTTGACAGGTGTGATAGTTTCACAGTAACTAAGAAGATATTATTTTTTTTTTTTAAATTAATTCATATTATTTAATTAATAAATGATAACATTTCTACTTAGTCGCATCAAATTAGCATAAAAAAAGTAAAAATGGACAACTTTTTGCGGAGAGGTCTGATTGAGATGCGGTTTTCTATAAAATGAGAACCGCAATGTTCTGAGAGTCACCAATGACATACAAATATGATTTCAAACTACTTGTACAGATTTTAACTATTCTCTAAACACTTCTCTCTATTTGTACATGAGTATGAGCAATTTTTCGGAAAACACGTTTGTCAGTCGAGAATTATTCATTTGTTAATTTGCCAGGTTACAATAAAAAACTATATTTCTAACGATTCCGGTAGTCAAGTTATTAATTTGTTAATTAGCGAGGTGGCAACAATCGAACAATAAACAATTATGTTTGCAAAAATCTTGTGCCGATGGTTCGCCTTAACAAGCCAGAAATGCGGTTCTCTAGTGATTTCGGGGGTTGTTTTTCATTTGTTAATTAACCGAGTTACAACAATTTAGCAATAAATAATAAATCTGACAACAAAGTGATAAAGAGAGACCTCGAAACCCCCACGAGAGAACATTTTCCAGACATTTTCGTGAACCGTGTGTGACATTTGGCACATATGCATCAACACTCTAACAAAAATGCCTCATTTGTTAAATAAATAATTAAGAATTTGCGAGCGTACAGAGGTTAGATATACCTTTTGTTATAGACGGTTTCCCAAACATTTTGCAGAAAACCGCATCTCAATCGAATCTCTCCACAAAAAGTTGCAGGTAAAATGCTAATTTGACGCGACTAATTTTGCTATTTTTATTTTGTATGCATGGAACTGATCTCATTTTAAAAATTAAAGTAGCTACTTTTAGTCCATAATTTTGTACACAAAAAAAGTATTCTAATAATTTTTCTTATTTATATTTTAATTTTGTAAAAATGTATGATGAAATGGAGGTAAAATTATTGCTGTAAAAAACTTGTTTTTACGTTTATTTCTTTTTGGATATTTCAATAATACAGCAAAAAGTGATTTTAAATTAATGAAAAACTTTTAATACAGGTTGTTTTTATTAACATAATTTGTTTCTTTTTTCTCAAAATTGCCTGTCAATTAAGTTTGTTCTTTTAATTAGATCATCCTGTACAGGGCTGATTAAGGGCCGTCAGCAGTTGTATCTCAGAATATTTTAATAATTTTTTTTAAACCACAAAGACAAATCGATTGGCATTCCTAGGAGTACGTTCAGCTTTCTATAATATCTAATATCTATCCTACGTCAGTTTCCTCGCGTCTGTCACTCTACTTTAATCAATAGGTACACTTTAAACACGACCAGTATTAAAAATAATTTTAAAAAACCGACTTCAAAATCGAGCACACATGCCATCACCACATCTTGACCAAATTTATGTGGGACCACACTTAAGGTAACCTCTTACTAAAAAAATCATAGAAATCGGAAAAGGTAGTAAAGAATTATCGCATAAAAAATGAAGGGTTTGAGGATTTTCTCATTAATCCAATTATTAGATTTTAGTCAAATTTATATAGGACCACCCCTGAAGTTCCCCCTTTCTAACAAAAAAAGAATCATTGAAATCGGATACTGCGTTAAAGAATTATCGCTGAATATACATTAAAAACAATATTCCGACGAATTGAGAACCTCCTCCTTTTTTGAAGTCGGTTAAAAGGTACTAAATATGACTCTTTGTTGAAAAGGTAAATTTTATGGGGAACTGTTACGTATTGTAAAGTATGACACTTCATTTAAAAGCTAATTGTTTAGTAATTTAACTGGCATTTTGTTATTTTAGTTGATTGCGAATAAAGTTTGTATGTTCTAACGATAGAGCTATATAAGTTTTTTCAATAATTTCAATTGATTTAATCTTAAACTTAATGGCAACAATCTTATGCTATTTAGTTCATTTTTCAGTTATGTTTTGTTATATTGGGCATTAAATTACTAATAAAATTAGCTTTTAAGTAAAGTGTCACACCACTCAACAGTTTTATAACCAGCTACAGGACATAAAAATCAAAAGTAACGCAATGTTGCTGAATTGCCCATAAAATTACTCCTTCGATGATATTGGTAAGTTTAATAGAAGAAAATATGATACAAAGGTGTGTCTTATCGAATAAAAATCTATCTTTTTCTACGTTTCGTCTAAAAAAAATAACTTTTTTAATATATTCTGAGATACAGCCGCTAACTGTCCTTAATCAGACATTCTGTAAATATATTTTAGACGTTTCTTAAAATCCTTTATGTAGAATGTTAATAGTTAATTATTTATTTTGATTTCAGTACAAAAACAGTTTATCCCTTTTATGCAAATTTCACGGCATTCCTACATATTGAGCTTACACTCACTTTTAAAGAGCAGTGAGTCCATAATCAGATTTAATAACAGGCTGTGGCGTCCCCGGGACGCCCCCAGGTCCACATCCTGGTGACGATGAAAGAGGGGTGAGCGATGACCCTAATGATCCAATATGCATACTGGGATCCGCATGGAGCATTCCATGGTGGAGACTAGTCGGAGGCATGGGATGAGCGTGAGAAATCTGATGCTGACCGCTCAACGACATGTCTAGCATATTCTCGCCGAGTCCGTCCATATCCCTGTTGTTGTTTTTCCGTTTATCATTGTTATTTCCCGGAGTGCTGTTCTGTGTTTTCCCCCGAACTTTGCCCCCTGACTTGCTGCCCCCCGTCGTGGTGGTGACCCCGGCGGGATTCGTTTTCCTTCTTACGTTTTTCGTGTTGGGTAATTTGTTATCTTTCTTCCACTTCATTCTGCGATTCTGAAACCAGATTTTAATTTGTCTTTCTGAAAGGACTAATGTGTGCGCTATTTCTATCCGTCTCCGCCTTGTCAGGTATCTGTTGTAGTGGAATTCTTTTTCTAATTCTAATATTTGGTGGCGGGTGTATGCAGTTCGTTGTCGTTTGGGTTCCATACCGGGTGCGAAGGCTCCAGTAGCTGTAACAAAAAACAAGATATTAAAATAATATACAAAACTGACTTATATTTTATGTTATTAGAAAATTTTAAATTACATACAGAGGCGGCAATTTATCATAACTGTCGAGGGCTAATACATAGATAAATAAAAGGAGATGGTTCGAATTGTAAGTGTGACTAGTTTTTTTGTTTGCGCTGCGAACACTAAATATAAACTCGTTCTACAGCCATAAAAAATTATTTTAATTAAAATTAAATTTGATGTGGCATTAATTTCGAGTTTTTAGTCTTTGTTTGAAGAAATTTATTACTCTTAGAAAGAAATAGTTTAAAATTTTAATTATGAGTAACTAAAAAAATTAGGGGAATAGTTTGCGAAATGTGTGAAGCCAATTTAAAAAGAGGTAGTGTAGAACCTCATCATAGTTTTATTGATTTAAAAAAACATGATAAAAAAGCGTTCGATTTATGCTTAAAAGGATAACGTTCAATTTTTGGGTATTTTTCATATACATGATTATATTTAAAGACTACCCAAATACGGACATTTAAGGAGAGTTGAAAACTGACCAAATCACAATTGAGAACCGTTACATATCTTGGAAACTAATCACGTTCTATTACTGTTTATTAAAGTATTTTACTCAAAACTATTTACTCTAAATGCTACCCGTTTTCGCTGGCGACAGTCAGGTTAAAGGGTTGAGTGGATATAAACAAATGATGCCAAGTTGTATTAAACTTCGGATATTATGTCTGCATTTTTTGTGTATAAATAGAAATAGGTTTAATTGACAGAAAATTTTAAAACATTGCAAATATTATTTCAGAAATAAGGGTAAATATTTCCTATTAACGAGCACCTACAATTTCAAAAACAATACTTAATAATGGGGGTGGGTTGGCTCAGTGGTTAGAGTCATGTCTTTGAGATCGGAAGGTCTCAGGATCGAATCCCACCGGTGTCAGGGATTTTTATTTAATTTAAAAAAATTAAATATTTATTCTAATGCATAGGTAGGATTCCCCACTCGACCATTCACTGTTGGGTTCTAATTAACAGTGCTGTTCCTAAAGTGGCGCTGGGAAACAGTAACAAAGCCTACACAGAACACAAAGCGGTTAGAAAGGGTAGAGGTAACATAGGATGCAGTTGTCGCTGCGCGAATTTTGCCAAAACCGAAAAACTGGGTGGAAGGAGTAGGGAGATGTTCTGGGCCGGACTTCAATATTTGTATTGTAGTACCTAATTTTGGTGGGTAACCAAAAGATGAAAAATTATGAGACTTTATTTGACTCTATTTGTTAGCACGATTTATGTATGATGAGGGCAATAATACTTTATCAATATATAACTAGCTAAGGGCCGATTCCACCGTTGTGTCAAACGAAGTTTAAATTATTAAACGAAGTTTAAATTAATAAACGAATATTAAAATGTCATTTTAAACTCCATTTAATAATTTACACTTCGTTTTGGTTAATATAAAAATGTCATTTTAAGCTTCGTTTAGTATTTTAAACTTCGTTTAACAAAACGGTGAAATCGACCCTAAGTAAAAGTTTATAAAATTATTGCAACAAAATAGCTGTTGAGACAAAAAGTTATCGAAACAGCCAACGTACTTTTTGCTCGAATTACACACAAGATTTTTTCTACGATCACACCAAAATAAAATAAATAATTAAATTTTATTAGAAATGGGTTACTTTTTCGTTCGTTATAATATTTTAAGTTTATTTCACACACACAATCATTCTTCTGTAGGTACTTATTCCAATCAAATATTTTAAAAAATTGTTGTATTTGATTGCCCTACGACGTTTTTTTTTTCAATAGTAATAATAAAAGTAAGGGACATGTGCAGTGTTGCCGGTCTAACTTTTGACATTACCCGCGAGAAATTTGAAAAAAAAACATTTTTACCCATTAAAGGAGTACGTCAAAATTTTACCCCCAACATTTCTGGGCAGTTTTCAATAACGGTGTTATTCTGAATATAAAATGCAATTTACAGCTTTTCTTTTTTTGTTTTCTTTTTTGTTGTTGAACGTAATGTCATATTTTCAAATATGAAATGTCACTATTCATTGCCTTTTTTTCGATATTTGGTTTTTACGATTTTTCGTTTTTTGGATTTTTGGATTATTCGATTTTTTATTTTTCGATTTTTCGATTACTCGATTTCTTGATTTTTCGATTTCTCGACTTCTCGATTTCTCATTTTCTCGATTTCACGATTTTTCGATTTTTCAACTTAAAAACCAAAAAAGAGGCAGTTTTATTTATTTTCATTTCGTAACTGGTGACATAATCAACTTTTCGTAATCAGTTGCATAATGTTCTACTTTATGCAACTGGTTGCATAAGGTAGATCGTTTTGACACTCGCTGCGATTACAAAATATATTACTTTATATGTCAAAATTAGAGAAAATAACAGAATGTAAATTAAATGGATAGATCCCATATTATTATAGAGCAGTGTTTCTTAAACTTTTTTGACGACGGAACCTTTTTGAAAAGCGAAATATTTGACGGAGCCCTAAACACATAAAACACAAAATATAAAAAATTTATTTTAAATTTTTCTCTATTTTGACTCTCATTTTGACTTTCAATAGGTAAACATGATAAAAAATCGGCTTTATATTATGCTCCGATTTCACATATTCAATTTTATAATTGTAATTTGACAATATTACTGCCCATCTACGTAGTCTGTTGGCTGAAAATTGGTGTATACATTTAGCTGGGTTAAAAATAGTTACCAGAGGTAAGTGATCTGTAACTAGGATAAAGAAGTCCATATAAATATTTATTAAATTTATTTAAGCCAAAAATTATTGCAAGGACCTCTCTTTCAATTTGGGAATATTTTTGTTCGGACTTTGATAAGGTACGTGAAGCAGAAGCTATAATTTCTCAATGTTTTTTTTTTTAAAAACATGATATATCATGGCACTTATTCCCATATTTGATGCATCTACGAATAATTTGATCGGCAACTCAGGCTGAAAATGCACAAGAACATCATTTGTTGTTAATTTATTTTTGATTTATTCCAAAGATTCCTTGCAAGAATTTTCACAATCCATTTCACCCATAAAAAATAAAATAAAAAAACTCCTAAAAAAATTATATCCTCCTTCCTCTTAGTGACTTAAAAAAAATACTTCTCAAAAAAGGTCCTCTAGCCAGGTCCCTCCATTTTGTGGCGCTAGTACTGTTTTTTTTTATTATGATTATTTTCTTCGCAGAGCCCTCACTTTGCGGAGCCCCAGGGCTCCGCGGAGCACACTTTGAGTAACACTGTTATAGAGAATTACTAAATACTACAAAATCACTCAAATTTTATAGTATTGTAGGTCTAGTATATTTCTACGAATCACTAAAGAAAAACTACAACGTTTTAAGAAGTAATTTAGAGGTTATTAACATAAAATTACTATAATTAATATAAAAATTTGAAGTTTTGGCTTGTACCAATTTATAAAATAAACTTGAGAAGAAAAACAAATTTGCTTGGATTCAACCCGAATTTGAACTAAGTACCTTTCATACGAAAAAACTTATCCCTTAAACTTTCGAGATAACTTAATATAATAACTTTAATATTTACTCTTAAATAATTGTTTAAGGTCATTTTGTTATAATTTTTCCAAAATTTTCTGTTTTCTTAACTATTAACGATGAATATCTAGTGGATTGTTATTATTTATCGATTCGTTATAAGAATCACTTATTTTTTATTATATTTTACTTTAGTAATAAAAAAAAAGAAATAGTTTGACAAAATTTTCACTAATTTAAAACAACGCAAAAAATAGCTATTTGTGTATTAAGAGCCGCTTAAGATAAAAAGTTGCCGCGCAACGAGCAAAGGAGTGCGACATTTTATCGTAAGAATAGCTTTTCGCTCGAATTCAACGTAAGATTTTTTCTACCATCACACGATATTAAGAGTATATAGTTTTATTTTGCCGAATTCAAATCTTACTACGTTAATTTGCCAGACACGGCTAACTTGACTAGCAAACGAAAGGTATGTTGTGTATTATGTGTATATTGTTTTGCTTGCTTACTCTAGGATTAATTTTATGATAAGCATACAAATTATTTGTTAGTAAGTACCTACATCTTAAAAATAACTTTTTCAAGTTTTATTTAATTTTACAAACAAAAAAATTAAACTAAAAAATAGATAATAACTGGTGAGGATTGAACTCACGACCATCAGGTTTAAAGACAAACGCTCTAGGCTCTACACCAACAAGACATGTTAACTTATGAAAACAGGGTAATTTTTTTTTGTTTGTTTTTTGTTTTTTTTTTTTTTTTTTTAGAACCCAACAGTGAATGGTCGAGTGGGGAATCCTACCAAGGCATCAGAAATTATCATTAATATATTAAGGACAATGAGTTTGAGTATTAAATGTTCAACTAAAAGATTCAGATTAGTCTTCTTTTAAAATACTGATTCTATATAGTAACAACCTTTCTAATGAAAATAGGCGTGTGCAAAAATTAACTTTCCGCTTATATGCAGCAATAATGTCAAACTATGAAAATTCATAAAAAACGTCAACTTTCCAGTTAAATTTGAATGTGCAAAAGCCTACTTTGGATAGTGATCATAGAAAAAGTTATTAGTGTAACAAGAACATATATGAAGACAAAATTTGAGTCGCGCTGTAGGAACTCAATTGTATAGTACATTTTTTCTGCGACGTACAAACGAAAACTTACAAAATTTAAAAGTTAATTTAGAGGTTAAGATAAAATAAATATTTTAAAAATATTTTAATTAGTCCTCTTCCTGGATTTGCACCCCGGATCTTTCACATGAAAAGTCACTACTCTATCTCTGCACTAACGAGACAAACAACTTTTTTTAATACTAATAATTAGATTGGTTTTAGTGTTAATAAAATTTACGATTTATTTGTAAATATAGACGAATATCTTGTGGAATGCTATTATTTTTTTATCGATTTTTCACAATAACACACATTTAA